ATCAAATCCGTGGTTGCAGAGATCTCATGCAATACGGTATAGTCATTCAAAAACATTATCTCGAGTTTCAGATGACGGTATATTTTAAAGGGTTGTGAATTCAATTTTTCTTCAATGTTTTCGATTAAGGTATTGTCAGAAAGCTCTTGTGAAATCCAATCTAATATGAGTGTATTACAGCTTTATACGTGCAAAACTTACAACAATTTTTGAAGTTCGATTAGGTACGAAAATGGATTAAGACTTTCGATTATCTCGAAAACTCCATAACGGTCTCACTTCTTGATTTCGGTTTTGCAGAATCACCCTTTGAAGTTTTTTTTTTTTTAATGAATTCTCTACTGGATGATTCCACGTCAGTGCTAATACGTGCTATTTCGTAAGGGAATTGTCCTACAGGATTTATCACCGATAATTTAACCACGTGGACGTTTGTTCACAAAAAGAAAGTACCACTGCCTGTAGCAGTGGACCACTAAAATATGTTGCATGCGTATTCATCCAATCTAGTCGATTGGAGCGGGTCAGTCTGTCTGTAATCTGGTTGATTGGATGGAGTCAGCAGAATTGCAAAGTGTGTGCGATACGTTGCAGATGCACTTTTCAGCAGCATGGACCGAAGAGCTGGAGATCAAGTAAAGCGCCTAGTACTTCGCCCTCACTTCGAAATACCCTTCGCGTTAGCAACCCGCACGATTTGTGACCTCCCGAACAATGGTTTTGGATCAACCCACCCATCGTCTTCGACCGCTAAAGTCCGTATCGCTAGATCCCGAGATAAACCCCTCGGGTCACCGAGTCGCGCTGCAACAGCTTAAGGCAGTTCGTTCGATTCGCGTTGAATGTCAGAAAACAATCACCACAGTTCGGTATGCGGTCGAAGTGATTCAAAGTCGGAGCTGTCCACAAACAAATTGCATCACGAGGATTCCAATTGCGACTGCAGACAGCGGGGCGTCAAGATTTCAAGATGGTTCACAGTCACGAATAGTCCAGATCGAGCGAGAGTTGCACGAATTCATCGCCCTGCGCGACAACGTCTACAATATCGTGCGATATGCACATCGTAATCATTATTGTGATTTCTGCAGCAAGATGGCGGATTTACTAGTGTTTGGTCCGAATCCAGACGGGCTGTTCCTGGGTCTTTTCGGTAGCAACCGAGCGTCAAACATGCTTCAGAACTTCGTCACGGGCATCTTCCACCTCACTGTCAAGTGCTCCTCAAATGCGAGCCAATGTAACTGCGTGGGGCAAAGTCTCGTCCCTGAATTCGTTCACGCATTTCTCTTCGATCCAACTGCATTCACTACTGCCAACATGTTGACCTAGTCGATCAGTAAAAAAAATCTCTCAAAAAGTAAAAAAAAAATGCAAGTTATTTCTCCTAAGTTTGTTTTTTTTTTTAAAAAAAAGGAGAATAAAACCAAGTTTCAAATGTTTAATTTTGTAAAAAATGTTGCTTGTAAGAAAACCATGAACCCATGGATTTTCCACTCGATTTTCATTTTTCTGATTTTCTTCGCGGTTAAGTGCGAAAACGCCTGTCAAGCGGCGTCGGCAGATACCAATAGCTCCAGTCATGATGAAGAAGGAGCCGTCCATGGCGGCGGCGAGCGGCGACCCGTTCTACGTCTTCAAGGAGTACGCGCGCCTGTAGTTTTGCGCTAAACTCCCTGGTGTTTCTAACGTTGCTGCGTCTAGTGAACTGGAGAG